GCTCATGGGAAAATCCCTATAGCAACAGATGGAGGGAGTTCACTTCTCCACAGGTTATACATGGTGCGCATTACAGTGAGCGAACAGTTTAATTTGCTTCACATGTTCATCTGCAAAAAAAAAATATAAAAAAAAAAAAATAAATAAATAAAAATGACAAGAAGAAAAAAAGCCGACTGGATAATTACTGTTACTTTTTTTCTAAAAACAAAAAAATGTGTTCCCATATCTATAGGACTTTTAAAACTTGTTTTGAAATATAATTCAACTGAATTATTTATAACTTAAGGACATGAAAATGACCAGGATGGAAATGAAGAGCTAAACTTAGTTATTGAAATGAACTGATTGATGGCTCATTTTCAAAACCGCATTAATTTCTTCTCTTTGATTTCTCAGTCTGAGAACTGAATGAGACCCAGAGGTCAGATGTAAACCGGCTGCTCTGAGGGACGTGGGTCGGCGCTTCAATAAGCCAGGTATGTGGGAGTTTGGGGAATTGAGGTGGAACAGGATTAAAGTTCAATTAAAACACTGATGATCTCAGATGACCCCATTAATTCTTCAGCTTGCATCCAGGCTTTGGGTTTGAGACCCCTGATGAAAAGCAAATATAATGAAACACACTGTGTGTCTTCGGCTGCAGGCTCCCATGTAGGGGTCAGGAGGGCACTGCGTTGACACATCCTCTTGACAAGGTCACACACAGGCGTACACACACACAATATTAGTGAGGACATCTCATTGATGATTTTTATATGGAGGTGATGATATCTGCGAAAGCTCAACCCCACACAACCCCTAAAGAAAAAAACAAGATTAATTTGATGTATACATTTTTGATTTTAAATATAAATGAACACATTTAGCTAACATATATATTAACAAATGTTTAATAAAATATTTTTTGAACAAATTAGTGCTTTTAAATAACTAAATTTAAATAAACACACACAAATATATACATGTGTATATATATATATATATATATATATATATATATATATATAATTTTTGATTGTTTTTAAAAAAATGAAGTGATGATATTTTGTAAAGCTCTATGGAAACCTAATTACAAAAAGATTTTACAAAACAAGATTTTACAAACATGTACAGTAATACTTTTTTTATAAATATATTTTTTAGAATGGATTACCTGTTTTTAAATAACTACATTCCAAAACAATAATTAGAAAATATATTTTATATTTTGCAAAAATTTTAATGTATTTTTTATATATATATATATAAAAATGTATTTTAGCAATCTTTTATTATATATATAAATAAATATTACATAAATACATGTAAATAAATAAATCTTAAACAAAGATAGCCAAACAAACAAATAAATATTTGGACACATGCACAATTTGTCACTTAAAGGGGTTTGGCTCAAACTAAGCAAAGATACCAGCATTCAAATGGTTTACTTTAAGTGATGCATGAACCAGCAGATGTCATGCAGATTAATGCTGACAGACAGATCTCAACCGTGCAATACAGACTCAGCCATGAGCCACTGAAGTGTCCATGAACACAGTCACATTTCTGGACATCTCCTGCCTCTCTTCAGCTTTGATGAGCTCATGGTTGTGCTGTTTGTCTTGTGTCGGCCGGTCGATCACTCTCTTCATCAAACAGCCTCCAGCTGCAGATGACTGACAGCTCCAAAACATCAGCCTGCAGACACTCTGCATTCCTCCAGGAGACTCGCTTTACCGTTTTCTACACTCACTAAGACTTTATCTTTCAATACGTGGGTCTGTTTTTTAAAATAACTCTTCGCACAGTGAGCACAACAGCATCATTTATCATTGCTTTGGCACAAAATGCATTCAATTGCCTCGTCTTTCAAATTTTAACGAATTCTCGTCATTTAGACATAGGTATTTGCACATATTTACATGACTTTTTCAAAAACTTGAAGGGTTAGTTCACCCAAAAAATGTAAATTTCCTCTCACCCTCACGTCGTTCCAACCCGATTCTTCTAACGAAAGACTTTCGTTCATCTTCGGAACACAAATTCATTGACAGCAACGCAACTACCACTTTGATGCTTCAAAAAATTAATGTAGAGATCATAAAATGAATCCATATGAATTAATAATAATCATATGACTCAATCACTTTATATGGGGAATTGAGGTGGTTCCTCATTGGTTCTTGCTGAAGCTCAAACGTGCTGCGTAACACGAGAATGAACCTCATTGGTTCTCGCTGGAGCTGGATGTCTAACCTACTGATGTCACATGGACTACTTCACTGTAAAAAAAAAATGATGGTTTAAGTTAAAAAAGTAAGTAACCTGGTTGCCTTAAAATTTTAAGTTCATTGAACTAAAAAAAAGTGAGTTAATACAATGAAGGAGAACGATTTAATCATCAGAAACTCAAAATTATATGTTATCTGAACTAAATAAATTATTTAAGTTGATTTGACAAAAGAAAAAATGTTGTGATTACTACACTGTAAAAAAAATATTGTGGGTTTAACTTAAAAAAGTAAGTAACCTGGGTTGCCTTAAAATTTTAAGTTGATTGAACTGGAAAAAGTGAGTTAATACAATGAAGGAGATTGATTTAATCATCAGAAACTCAAAATAATAAGTTATCTCAACTAAATAAATTACTATAAAGTTGATTTGACAAAAGAAAATATGTTGTGATAACAAATCTTGAAAATATTTTTTACAGTGTTTGATGATGTCTTTATTTCCTTTCTGGACAAGGACAGTATACCGCACATACCGTACATTTTCAATGGAGGGACAGAAAGCTCTCGGACTAAATCTAAAATATCTTAAACTGTGTTCTGAAGATGAACGAAGGTCTTACAGGCTTGGAACGACATGTGAGTGAATTTTTAATGTGAATTTTTACTACTTTTCCAAGCTAAGTCTAGTAAAGAGAACTGTGTGAAGAGTTTTGAAAAAGTATTGAGAAATGGGTCCTAGGGATTGTTTAAAAAAAAAAAAAAAAAAAAAAGGTGCTGTTGGACAATCTGTATTGGAATGTTGGAATTACAGGTTCCAGATTACGATGATAACATCAGAGAAGATTTTCACTTGATCAAAGTATTAAAATATTTGTCTTTTAGGGTGTACATTCCTCACGAACATCAAAAGGGCGAAAAATGTGTTTATTAATTACCCGGAATATTTCTCTGTAATTCCAAGTCAATTTAGACTGAGATGTCAATCATGCGGATTAGGCTTGTTTGTCGTCGCCGTGGCGCTGACTGCCGAAAAATGAATAAATAGGAAGATTATGCGGTCAGAAATTTGGACTGATTTCATTACAATTTCATCATGGCCTCGTCTCAAATCTCTAAATTGCTTATTAAGCCGGATTTTAATGCTTGTTCCTCTGTCAGCACTTCAAATAAGCCAGATATTAGGCCACTTACTCATTTTTTCAGGCATGCAGAAGGGAAAAATGTTGTGCTGTTTTACCTTGGTGCTTTGTGAACACACACACACACACACACACACACACACACACGTTGGGAATTTATTAAGGATTTATCTCCTAAACCTTCCCATCACAGAAAATGTTCTGCATTTTTACATTTTCAAAAAACATCACTAAAATGATTTTTAAGTTTTCCTCATGGAGACCAAAAAATGTCACCACAAGGACAAGGATTATGGATATTACCATTTTACCAACAAAATGTCCCTGAGTTTATCTGAACCAAACCCACACACACACTTGATGTGCAGGACTACTGCATTTAAAGGTGAGTTGTGTTCACGGCCAAGAATCATATTTGCTGTTAAAAGTATAGTTCATTCAAATATGAAAATGATGTAATCAATAACTCACCATCACGTCGTTCCAAACCTGTACGCTGTGTGTGATCTGTGGAGCACAAATGGATGAGTGAAAAACAATTTAAGAACTATTAATATATAACAACAGTAGTTTGAATGACTCATGAGCCATATGATGCTTTGTGTTAAGAACTGAAAATCTTACCCTCTCTGAAATGAACACCTTTTATTAACAAACACCTTTGGGCATTATTAAAGTGGGCATTATAATTACCTATCAGAATAACAACATATGCAATTTAACAACAGTTGAAGGAAACTCTATCGCCCCCTTGACAACTGAGGTTTATTAGACCCAGGGATATTGTCATTAAAGGGATATTCCCAGATAGTTTCTGGTCTCATTGACATCCATAGTGGGAGAAAAATATACTATGGGAGTCAATGAGACCAGAAACTGTCTGGTTACTGATGTTCTTCTAAACATCAGAAAATCGGCTGAATGGATTCGAAAACGGTAAAACTCGACTGTTTAAGTCTGGGGGAGTTGTAAAATTAGCCTATTTCCAAAAAAAGTGGAGTATCCCTTTAATGACAATATCCCTGGGTCTAATAAACCTCAGTTGTCAAGGGGGTGATAGAGTTTCCTTCAAAATCCCTTTAACAAACTATTAAAAGTTTTGTTAATGGAAACAAATCTAAAAAGAAAAAACATATTAGATAAAAAAACAAACTATATGAAAATTAATGAAATAATTTGACTCAACTAAAATTGATAACTGGAAATAAAAACAGAAAATGAAATGAAAATAAATTAAACGATGACAAAAGCACAACAAAATTATTAAATATAAATTAAACCTAAATGATAATATAAACGAAAAAAAAAAAAAAATACACATAACACAATTAATAGTTTCAAATTAAAACTGAATGTAAAAAAATAAAAGCCTAATCAAAATATTAATAAAAAGTAACAGTATAGAAATAATACTCAACATTGACACTACTACTTACATGTCTGTAAATGCACTGAAAAAAAAAATATTTTCAAGATTTGTTATCACAACATTTTTTCTTTTGTCAAATCAACTTAAATAATTTATTTAGTTCAGATAACTTATTATTTTGAGTTTCTGATTATTGAATCATTCTCTCCTTCATTGTATTAACTCACTTTTTCCATTTCAATCAACTTAAAATTTTAAGGCAACCACGTTACTTAATTTTTTAAGTTAAACCAACAATATTTTTTTACAGTGTGTAAATGCAATGCGTGCGTGATTCATACATGTCCAGTAATCTGAAGCGTACGATAGTAATGTATTGCCAAAGTGCTGGCATGGATCAAAACCCTCTCAGGTCCAAATGAGCTCAAGCTGCTGCAGGCGCCAACATTTATTTCATTGCTTTTCGATTTGGAGGGCCATTTGTCTGTCTCTCAACGCCTGCAAGGCTGCTGTTTATTTTCTGTCTGTCGGAAAGATGGCACGTCCCGCAGGGCAGGTGAAAGGGGCCTGTGTCTGGTGGCCGTCCGGACGCTGCATTTATTAACACCACCAACATGGCTGGAGGTCCACGTTTGGATTGCAAAAAGAGAAAAATGGGAGCTCCATCCAAACTCAACACTCAAAGCTAATCACCGTCACCTCGTGGTTCCCTCCATCTCGCGCAGCCGGCCGGATCGAGCTGAATGTACGGTCCACCCAAAAGCCACCGATCTCCTCATTTGCCTTGACTGATGGAAAACATTAAGAACATGTTGAAATGTCATGTTAGTCTTCCACTCTCTTTGAGCTCGCACAAGCAAATAACGGTGCCAAACTTCAGCCGCGAACCCTTCCAAGAAGTGAAGATTAAAAATACATACTTGAGAATATTTAGACCACCAGAAAATGGATGACTTGTGTTCAAGGGTGTATGAATGTTTCTTGTCTTTCAACTCTGTAAAATACAATGTTTGCTAAAACTAAAACAGACTGTGTTTACATTTAAAGGGCATGATTGTGTTTATGGGGTGCAATATAACATGTATTTGTGGTTTTTCTTTGTTAAAAAGTCTTATTTTTCATAAATTTCACCTTTATTGTGAGCCGCTTTCTCATGTCATTTGAACGACCGGTTGACTTCCTGATTCTATGAAACCACTCCCTCAGAAACAGGCAGTGGGCTCAGATTGGTTAGTTTGGGCCGGTGTGTTGTGATTGGCTAAACTGTAGTGCACGTTGTCCAGAAAATTCACGCCCATTACCTTTACGGGCGAAGTTGCATGTATTGAAAGTTATGCATTTGATCCTGGAATTAGTTGACGGTGTAAAGCATTCGGAGTGTCGATGGATTCGGCCAGCTCTTCTCTAACGCTGTGTGTTTCTATCAGAGCTGGTGTAAAACGCAGGGCGTTTCTGTAAATGTCAGGCTCTTGGCACTCACGCCACAGCAGATGGGGAACAAAGAGGAAAGGGAGAGATGAGGATGTCGGGAACGTCGTGCCGCGCTCCCCTGATGAATGAAGATCTGGAGTTGTGTAGAGATGGAGCCAAACGCAGCCGATGAACTCCAGGACACGCAGTAAATCACTGGGCCACAGTCAGGAGGTCATGAACTTCACCAACAGTCCATTCTTCTCTTTTTGATCTCTTTTTCTCTCCCTCTGTCAGGGTGAGAATGAAAACAAATGAGATCTTATCAACGTTTCAATTGTTTCTAGACAGCAATATTGAGATTGGAGATTCCAGGTTTCAGATGTTTCTCCTGAGATAGAGTTATAAAACAGATTTTGATTACATTTTTTGACATATATCAGCCACATCATCTCAACACAAAGTCCAAGCCTAATGAAACTTGGACACCACACTGTAAAAATGAATATGCTTTATCTAATCAATAAAATTGTGGCAACAGATTACAAGCAATATTATTTATTAAATTGAACAAATTAGAATTGAGTAATAGTTAATCAAATTAATATTCTAATTAATTCTAATTTGTACGATTTAATTAATAATATTGCTTGTAATATGTTGCCACAATTTTATTGATTAGATAAAGCATATTATTTTTATCAGTGCAGGATATTCTGAGAATGCATAGCAAAACTCCACCATTAGGGGACGCTATACATTAAATAAATTAAAGGGGTGGTATAATGCCCTTTTCACAAGATGTAAAATACATCTCTGATGTCCCCAGAGTGTGTGTGTGTGTGTGTGAAGTTTTAGCTCAAAAAACCCCACAGATATTTGTATATAGCATGTTAAAGTTGTAACTTTTTGAGGGTTAGCAAAAACGCACAGTTTTGTGTCTGGCCCTTTAAATGCAAATGAGCTGCAGCTCCCGACACAGTGGGTGGAGCTTCAAGAGTGTGTTCAAGAGTGCAGCTCTGATTACCTCACGCAAACACATGCTAAAACGTCCGAAACTGTGAGTCAGACAAAGATGGAGATGCTCAAACAGCATCATTACACACTAAAGTTAGAAAAGTAAAATCATACTTTACCACCCCTTTAAATAACATCAAACTTCAGAACTGAACAAGTTGAAATTGATGTGCTGCCTGCATGTCTTAAAATAAACAATGAGAAAATCAATCAAAACTTTGCAGCCTAAATTTTAATTCTGAGCCATGTTATTTCTGTATCGTTGCTATACTTTTGTAATTTCAGTTAATACTTTGAAATTATTTTATTTTTAAAGCCTATTTTTACTGTCAATTTAATTTATTTGTTTATTTTCCTTCGCAAAAAAGTTTTTTTTTTTTTTTACATATTTTATTTTTTATTTTATTTCAAGTGACGATTTCTTTTTTTATGGTTTTCAAAAATAATTTTGAATGATCAAACTCTTTGGCAAATATTAATCAATCCATTTTCAGGTGTGACCCATAACGCCTTATTGTGATGTCCAGTATTTTATTTATTTTCCTTTGGCTCCTACATTATTTTCCCACAAGCATGAATGAATGAAACATCAATTCGGCTGAAGTTGATCCTTTAACGAAGCATAATGGAAGCATTCATTAGCTCTCCTAAGCAATGAAAGAGCAACAACTGAGCAATAACATTTTCCTCTGGGTTTGTGATTTCTGTCAAAAGTTAGTGGTTTGAAGAAATGATCGGAGTTAGTTTAAATTTACATATGATCGTAAGTCAGACAAATAGAGGAGAAGAAAGAATGAATGAAGAGGAAATGTGTGTGTGGTTTTCAGCAAAGCTTGTTTATAATTCATAATTGCCTTGGCCTGGGGACGTGCCAGCTGTATGAAACCAATTCCATCTGTTGGAATCACGCATGCGAGGTGAGAGACGGGAATACGCGCGGGCTATAAATGCAGGAAAGCGTGCAGACAAACTTATGCTCGCAATCATGCAAGCGCACACACTTATAAACATTCTGAACACACACCTTCAGGCCATCTGTAATACGGCTCATTGCTCGCAATGCTCTTGAAGTCATGGTCAGGATCAAACACGACGCTTATGTACAACACACACTCAAACTGTTTCAGGGATGTTCGAATCCCTCAAGGATTGTGATGGTCTGATACAGATTTTGCTAAAACTACCATTTTGATGGAGCACGGTGATCGCAAAAACAAAACAAGCCATATTCTAACACATTCTAACAGATGATTGCTGTCTATATGTTATACAAAGCACAAAAGCACAGGCTTTAACAGATTTCAGCATTGGCAAGCAGCCAAATAGAAATATGCATTTGAATTATGCATCTAAAATGCGGCCCACTATGTTTGAGAACAGATCCTCTATGTTTCACTGATTTCACTAGTCATTTTATTCTCTCCAGTAATTCTTATAATTTAATGAACAGATTTTTTCCATCTCTCCAACTGACTGTTATCAGCCCGGCCGCGGCTGTATTTATTCGCTGCCTTTGGCTGTGATATTTCCCCATAACGATTCTGAGAAAAACTTAAAAAAAAAAAACCCCAAACCATTTCATATTTCTCCAGCCAAAGCAGGACATAAACTCGTTTCCTCTGATCTGCATTTGAGAGGTTGAACGAGTGCCAGTGGGAAGAAGTTTTAGATGAGAAAGAGGCCGAGGACATTTTCTGTGTAAACGCTGATTCCAGGCATCTCCTGCCCTTTGACCCCGTTCTATATCTTTGATCTCTGCACAGAGAGAAAATGTAAACGACTGACGGCGAGGATGGCGCTCTTGCTGGTTGATCTCACATGATTCAGTCCAGCGTTAGTCTTTTAGTGATTGTGAAATGAATGGATCACTCATCATTTTGTCGACTTTTAAGCAAGCGTCGTACAGCCAAAATTAACATTCATCAAGCATCAAATTGGGGTAAAGATTGTCTTTGGTGTAAAGACATCAAACATAGCAGTTGGTAACTTTACAGGGAATTGAACTAATAAACGGTTTAAGAATGAAAATCTGACTCTCGCTAATGCAATGTGAGCAATTCAATTGTAAGACAAACAGATTTTAAGGCCTCGTTTACACTGCATGGTTCAAGTGACCCAAATCTGATTTTTTGTGCCACATACAGATCGGATATGACCGGTGAACGTGTAAGCAGGAAAAAACGCATGGATTCCGATTTTCTCAGATCGGATTCAGGCCTCATTCATATGTGGTAATAAATCGGACATGAATCGGATACGTGCATTTGCGTGTGCCATGTAAGCAGACAAATCGGATATTCCCCGGTAATGCGAGTCGTATGTCATTAAAAAGTGCGCGATGATAGGCGCGATGGACGAAAGGATACACACAGTGGAGCAATGCGGAGGTTTCATGTCTTTTGAGTGTTTGGGGTGAAGAGTGCTGGCGAAAATGCAGGGTGGTTACAGAAATAAATCCGTTTTTGAAGACATTTCACGAGATATGAGGCATCGTTTTAAGTGCTCGCCGCTAGAGCCTCTCCTCTTTTTTTCTCCGCCGAACGAGACCAATGTTTTAATGACTTATTGAAATATTGTGGAAAGAAAACACTGGATAATTTTATTAACATCTGCAGCCATTGAAGTTCGTGCTGTTTTGCTTAATTTCCCGGGTCAGAACGTCTGCATTTGGTAGTTTCAGCAGTGTATAGTGTAAATGCAAAAATCGGATAAGGGTCACTTTTAAAAGATGAATATAGATGAATAAAAAAATCGGATATAGTCAGAAAATCGGATTTGGGCATCAAGACCTGCAGTGTAAATGCAGCCTAAAAGACAACTAGTTTTTTGACAACCATCAGAAGTTGATATAGGAGGCTGTGTAACGACACGCATGTGGAATATTCCTCACATCGTACAGTATATGAAAAGTTAAGATGCAAAAGCCTCTAAATGCCATTTGAAATGTTCTTCTTTCATGATGATTTTTATCAAACTTGTATATTTAAGTTCAGTAATTTCACTTAAATGGCAATGATAATTACCTATTAATTGTTATTTAAGTGAAATTACTGAACTTAAATATACAAGTTTGATAAAAATCATCATTAAAGAAGAAAATTTCAAATGGCATTTAGAGGCTTTTGCATCTGAACTCTTCATATTTACACTGAACAAAATTATTCATGAGCTGAACTCAAAGATCTAAACATCTGAACACAAACCTTTGCTCACAATGCTCTTCAAGTCATGCTGAGTACGTGGGCGATTTGGTCTGCGCAAGCGCCGGAAGTGATCTCTCGCGCGTGTATGTCACTCATTGTTTACACAGAGATTTTGGAAGTGTTACCTTTCACTGTGAAGATCTAAACATATTTAGATATACATAAAATCGCAATGGAAGACGGTTTGATATATCAACAGACTATGTTGAATTTTTTTCACAACCATATTTAGATTGGCTATCGATAAAAACTATATAAATACTGTTCGTTTTCTCACACAAACCGTTTGTTTCGTGTCTTAGGCCATCGATGTGTACTTACATTTATGAGTCATTAAATCATGTTTAATTTGGACTTCTCTGTGCATGCTCTTTGAGGTGGTGACCATAGACCTCCATTATAAGACTGACAGACAAGAACGGTTTGACATAAAAATGTCAAAATTGAAAATACTGCGGAAACAAAGACACCTACATCTTGGATGCCCTTGAGGTAAACTAAAACATATCAAAAATTAATTTCAAAGTCAACTATACCTTTAAGTCAGATATGCATCAGATTTGAACATGCCCTAAATAATCTCATATGTGCTTTAGTGTTACACACAGAACTGACTGACGGTGTAAATGTGGCCAAAGAAAGCGTATTTTCATGAAACCTCACCTCCAATTTAAAGGTTTCATGGCAAAGTGAGCAAAACAAAGAACAAGTCAAGTAAATATGGGCACCTAGATGGAAAATGACTTAGTTTAACTTACGAAATACAACACTCTGCATTTTTACAGCAAACAAAGATGCCTTTCAGCAAACTGCCCTGAAATAAGGTTCATATTAAGGCTCATTTTCAGCAGATCCAAAACGTTCAAGAAATTATAAAAATTTGAGATAAATAAAATCTGCTGAAACAAAGGGGATACTGGGGAGGAATGCTGCCCGGAAAAGCCTGGAAGTTCATCTGCTTCACCCGCAACGGATGGAAGGAAACAGTAGTAAGGAACAAAGTGGTAATCGGCACAGAGATAACGTCATTCTCAAGATGGGTGTGGAGCAGTTCACTTAAACGTGTTCTCAGGCCTCAAACCAACAGTTTATCTCTATTAAAAAAAGGTTTTCCTGTCTTTCCTGAGAACTAAAATTCATGCTAAAGATGATCTGATGTGTGTGTGTGTGTGTTCTTGGCAGCCGTCAGATCTAAAATCTCTGAAATGGGTTTCTACTGAACAAAACAATCCCAGATTCTCAGAAATGAAATGCTTAAGACACTACGGAGTCCCTAAAGAGACATGATGATATTAAAAAATGAGATGGGAGGAAAAATTATATTTTGATAGCTTTGCATTCCCCGGAGAAACTTTGTATTTGTTTGCAAAACGTTTTTTTTTTTTTTGCATTTTACTCTTGTAAATGTATTAGGAATGTTTAGATATTTGTACTGGAAAGCAAGATAAAAATACTAAATAAAAAAATATTTTTCTTTTTTTAAATCAAAGTTGTAATTTGGTCATACTATGCAAAAGGTGCTAATTATATATATATATATATATATATTAATCCAACTTATACAAAATGAAATTTAAAATGCAATGTCCGACCAGAGAATAAATGATGATTTGAGTTGTGCTGGAAATTACATGTGCTCATTAAAGATCAGAAGTAACATTAAAGATTAAAGAAATTTTTAGTAGACAAATGAAATGAACTAGCGAGTGTTTAAATGCTATAACATCAGCAGTCGTACAGAAATGTTCATAGCCTATAAATCTCTGAGGAGCTCCACATCTCCTGAGAGTTCAGTATTGTTTGCTGGTCTTGTTTGGAAGTCTAAATCTGATTCTCACCTGTTCACAGAAAAGCTGCTGAATGAATGGCGAAGGCCTGCGGGCAGGGTATCCTACACCCTGGGAATGTCTTCAAGCTTTTGTACGTGTCTGTAAACAGATCTGCTCATCATTTATTTACAACAGACCATTTCGTCAACACCCAGCCAGGCCACGGAAAAGATACATGGAGCGTCCCACAACATCCTAATGGAGGTTCAACACACAATGGAGATGAAATCAACAAGGACACCCTGAAGAGAAGATATAGAGACACAAGTGAGACTCAAAAACACCTTGCTTTTTGGTTTGAGGACATATACAAAGACATCAAAATCTTACGTAAATCTAAAATAGTACATATACAGCTGTAAATAAAATATATGAACAATAGTCACAAGAGCCTGGTTTCCATTGCAGATTTGCGCAAAAATTGTGATATTTTCGAAATGTCTAATAAATGTTTAATAAAAAAACGGTCTCATCTTCTGTCCAAACACACCGCGCCACCCTTAAAGAATGATTGATTTTTATGTACACCAGGTGTCAGTAAATGCAAAATGTTTGTGACATATGAGAGTTTTTGCAAAATTGACCATTGGCCGTATTTTCAATTCACAATTTCAAATTGCGCAATTTGAAGGGTAATGGAGACACAGCTAATGAAACAGATATTGTAACTTACATACAAGTGTAACGGATTATTGAAAAAGAAAAACATTTAGGGCGGGACTTGGTTCTGTGTATCGGTTGTTGATTGGATGTTGAGATTGGGCATGGCAAATATGCTTGCAGGGGATTGTAAGAAATTTTTTTTTTCATTTTACGCACAACCTCACTTCATTTAGATCAGTTTTTTTATTTTATGTTAGGATATTTACTGGAAAACAAGACAAAAATACTGAGGATGAACAGCAGTTTTTGCATGATTTCCAATCAAGTTGTAATGTTGTCAAATTATGCAAAAAGTGTGAAGATATGATTATTATTTCGGTAACGCTTTACAATAAGGTTCATTTACTAAACATTAGTTAATGTATTAACTAACATGAACTAACCATTTGTTACTGTATTTGTTATTCTTTGTTAACGTTAGTTAATATTAATCTAGCTGTTCATTGTTGTTCATGTTAGTTCACAGTGCGTTAACTAATGTTAACAAGATTTTTAAAAAGTATTAGTAAATGTTGAAATTAACATTAACAAAGATTAATAAATGCTGAAGAAGTATTGTTCATTCTTTGGTAATGTTAACTAATGTAGTTAACTAATGAACCTTATTGTAAAGTGTTACCATTATTTCAATTCTTTGGATTAAAAAATAGTTGTAGCAAAAATATGTACAGATTAATTTTTCACAATTAAATCAATAACACGCATTTAGAAATAAAAATGCTGAATTTAAGAGGTTTGCCTGCACTATTTTTTAAAGCCTTTGCACATCTGACAAATAATTTAACTTCACTGCAAAGGACAGTTAGTGCTAATTAAGCAAAACTTAGACTACATCCCTGGGCCATTTTCTTGATTTTTGGGACTCATATAATAATTTATTAATATAATAATAATTTTTTGCAGGTGCATGGATAAAGTGGAAATGCTGCACTAGTCGGGATATGATAGTCCGGTCAAATTCTGCTATACTTTAGCAGTGCTTATGTTGCACATCTTACTGCATTAACATGTGAAGGCATACTAAAAGATTTAGCACATAATGAGTGTCACGGGAAGAGAGGTTTTAATCATCGCCTTTGTTCTCTCCAATGAAATTTAGTAAACAGAATTCATCTAGAAAACAAAACAGCTACTGTATGTGCCGTGCCATAAATCAGGAAAGTCTTTGGGTTTGTTTTTGGAAAACACAGGCACGTCTGCTCATAACAACCCTTCAACACAATGCGAAGAACTCGCTTTACCTCTTTGATTATATTGGGCTCTCTGCAGGATCCCAGACTCTCGTCTCATTAGTTTTCTCCAAATGCCTCTCAGAATTTCTCTTACCTCTGTTGTGAACCCATATTCCCCCCCTGCGGAGATCTGAATTCTGGGGATGTTTACCCAAAACAGTGGGGCGGTCTCTTCCAAGCCGAGATTAAACTTCAAGTATAACCAATCATGTCTTTCTGGGCTGAAGCCCTCACATTTTCTGCCTTCAGACCAAAACAGATTTATTATAACTCCTTCACCGAGGGCAACACCACAACCAACCGAATCACCCATAAAATGACTTGCTTAGAGGTTAAAACATTACAAACCGAAACGAAATACATCTAAAATTGGACAACAGCTGGATTTTAGATAGTTCTGACCAACGGCACTGAAAACATCGGCTGACCTAGATACACGTCTACTGATAAAACACAACATGAGGTGAAATATCAAGCACAAAAAGGCCTGAGAAATACAGTCACAGATCTTCTGAACATCGTGATCATCCTCCAAACACAGGCTGAAAAAAATAAAACCTGTTACCCAGCTAACACAAATATGTTCTAAGATTGTTTTGATAATGTTACATCTATGTTAAAAATGTTTTAATTTGTTATGCAAACATTAAGGGAACATTCTATTTTATCATTCTATTTATCATTCTATTTTTGAATGTTCTGATACAAGTTAACAGTTCAAAGAATTTATACAACGGGGCTGTGGAATGCTTGAATCTGATTGGTTGACGAATGTTCTAAGGTGTGCAATTATTTTCAGGAAAACGGAAGGCTAAAGTAGTTCCAGGCAGATCTTGACCGCATTACAGTTCCATATCACTTCGCCAAACGATTTCAGTTTTTTCAGTCCTTACAGCCAACAACAGCAAAAGAACCAAAACCCACAATGACACTGACCAAACAAATAAATATAATAACCAACTAACTAATTAGTTGCATGGTTGTTGTTGTTTTTTTGCCACAAAATTACGTTTTATTATGTCCGGAAAGCACATACTCTCTTTCTCTTGCTCTCACTTCCACTCAAAAACACACACTCCCACAGAAACTCCCACAGAAAGTTTCATCGCTGCTCTGACGGGTTTATCAGTAAAATAGTTTAGCAACTTAAAAGATACAAGACATTTCTCACTAGAGGCCTCCATCCATCCATCCTCCATCCATCATCATCCATCCATCATTCTATCCATTATCCATCCATCAATCCATCATCCATCCATCCATTCATCATCCATCATCCATCTGTTATCCATCCATCCATCCATCCATCCATCCAATCCATCATCCATCAATCCATCATCCATCTGTTATCCATCCATCAATCATCCATCCTCCATCCATCCATCCAATCCATCATCCATCCATTATCCATCAATCCATCAGTTATCCATCCATCAATCATCCATCCATCATCCATCCATCCATCCATCATCCATCTGTTATCCATCCATCCATCCATCAATCCATCCATCCATCCATCAATCCATCCATCATCCATCCATTATCCATCATCCATCTGTTATCCATCCATCATCCATCCATCTGTTATCCATCCATCCATCAATCCATCCATCCATTATCCATCCAATCCATCATCCATCCATCAATCCATCATCCATCCATTATCCATCAATCCATCATCCATCTGTTATCCATCCATCCATCCATCCTTCCTTATGGAAAGCTACTTGTGATGAATGTTAGTGACTTTCTCTGTACCACCTGTGTTTATTTTATATTAATATTATTTCATTTAATAAAACATTTTTTTACTGTGAGTAATATATAAATAAATTCTGTAAAACCTAAAATATTGCTGCCATTTTTTACAGTAAAGTTCTGGCAACTGGAAGGTTCATTGGGGTTCTATATAGAACTCCAGGGTTCTTGACTCAATTTTAAAGAACACTTTATGCCAAAAAAGTTCTTATAAGGAGAAATGTCTTACATGATTGCATGATACTTTAATTCAAACTAAATCTTTAAAATGATCCCATAATGGGAACCCCTAAAAGGTTATATATTAAACAAACAAATCTCTGAAAATGTACTGTATAAAACTTCAGAACAAAGAAGAAAAGGTTCTATATATGAAGTGCCTGTCGTTTTATACAGTATATTTTCACAGATTTTTTTTTAGTTTACATTCCTCTAAAAGTGCACAAACAACAGCATTTTGATACAATTATTGTTCAATTTTTGGCTTTCAGGTTTTGCATATGTTCACAATTAACACGGAGACGGAGTCCGATTGCGGTGGGACACGGGATGAAATCATAGCTCGAGTATCTTATTGGACTTTATGACTTTGATCAGCGAGGAGAACTAGAATCCCTGTAAGAGTTCAGCTGTCTGTGGATATCAGCCAATCTCGGATCAAATTTCACAGACAACAACAGGGAATAAGAGATACAGAAGATCTTTTGTTGAAATGCACGATGGACGGATCTATATTCTGTTTCTCGGGACGTGACACCTGAAGCAGAAAGAGGCATGTTTTGGTTCTGCAGACTGTATGTTATTTTCCCAGCAGACAGTGGGAGTGATAATTTGCTTCAAGGAAAGTGTTTCAGAAAAACTAGTTCTTTATGCATCTGAAATTGAACTGCGACTATAATCTAACATGCAAGAACTAATGCTGCTGGCCAGTTGCTTTTAGACGGGACCAAAATGATTCACCATAGAAGTAAAAAAATCCTTCTTAAAATCAAACACTAAAATTTAGCCAGCAAATACAGCACAAACTAAGCTTCCAATAGACACAATTAAATCCTTTTTTAGACTTCTATATGTAAACCTTTTTAAAAGTTAATGATGAACAATGCAAGTTGTGGATTTTCTGTCAGGTCCAGTGTAGTTTCCACTGCTTTGTTCTTCAATAGTCTCTTTTTGAACGATGTGTAAAGTTATGAACTGGTGAATCCCAAAAAAAAAAAAAAAAAAAAAAAAAAAAACTAGGCAATTGCACCACAATATCAAAAGAAAAATAAAATATAGCTGCGAGCAGCGATTGCGGGCCCAAGCCGGTGGCACCGCAACCCTGATGCCTTTAGTTACCTAAAGGCACCGGGATGGTGGTACCGCCGGCTTTGGCCCTTTATCGCTGCTCACAGCTATATTTATATTTAATATAAAGCCGGTGGCACCGCCACCTTGGTGCCTTTAGGGTTATTCTGTATGACGTGCAAAAACGTAACCCCCGCTTTGACTGTCGAAAAGAAGTGTATTGTAGAGCTTGCATCAATGCGGACTCGATGCGCTGTGCGCTGTAACTCCATGTGGCTTTAAGCGCATCATTCTCCACTCGG